CGGCAGCCGGTTGCCCAGCCACTGCACCAACCATTTTTTTTTACTTTTGACTTTGTTCAAGTCATTTGTATTTCTATTCTACAAATAAGGCAGTCCTTTTTATAAGTTAGTAGGTACACAATAGATAAATAGTTTCGCAAAAACTTTATCAAATCGCTTGTAGAATTTATTAACGAACTTCCGAAGTCCTTCTCATTTATATTCTTAACTCTATTTCGATAAGCTGAAGATAACGTTCGAATTTACTAAAACCTAATCTTTACTACTCAGTATAATTTGTGAATTCTGCTGAAGTCTAGATTCAAATAAATTAGATGGCTATCTAGAATCTAAATCTGCAAAGTTTGCTTTCGAATCGGAAAATAGGAATTCGAGTTTGTAACTTTTCCGAACTGTACGTTTTGGGAATATGTTACGACTTACGTATAGTTATGTTGATTTATATTTGAAGCCTTGTTTGGCTGTATAGTAAAAAAGGTTTGTTATATAAGGTCGGCAACGAGTCAATGTATTACGTGCTATGTACACCTATTATAGGGAATAAGACAATATTGTAAAGTTAAGCTTGTAGTAGTAGCTCATACTATGGTAAAAATATCTACATTTCTTTTCAGTTTAATTTTTATCAAAAATCGGTCAAGGTGTTAGATAAATACATATATTAAACCTGTCTAAAACTCATGAATAGTCCACAAGACACAGCACACCAGCATCCTAATATGAAAAAACTGTGTGTCGGCATCGATCCAGCGTTTTGTGATTCGCGTCACGACTTGCAGGCCTACTGCGCCGTCGCCATGGCAACGAGCTCGACCGGCTGTGCCGCTATACCGGCAAACTAAAATTATTTCTAAAGAACACCAATAAATCATTGTCCGTGATAAACTTTATTGAAACTAGGAGCCGGAAAATGAAAAATGTGTCGGAATTCAATAATTATTTAATATATTTTATCTTTAATATATTTTTCGTGAAAAGGATAGACATTGTTAGTCGTATTTTACTTATGTACGTTACCATTCATGAATAATAATATATATACGCTACAGCAATACTAAAACGGCTTTCAGATACTTTCACGATAAAAAATGTCTGAGCATGCAGACGAAACCGCAGACGACGGTAGAGATACCCAATGTAATGTGTGAACTTGTCACCAGCACCTACTTTGGAATTCAGACGTAGTTATACCTACGTGGATAGGGAACTTTATAGATATTCCGGGTTTGATTTTAGTTTAAACAATAAGTAAGTATAATAACTATCGTGAGACATACTAAATTAACTAAAAATTGCTGCTACAATACTAATTGTAGTAGAGATAATACTACACTAACCTAAAAATCAGTAAGTTGCGCGACATAGCTACGACCGCCCACGCAACTCATGAGGAAGAGCCCCTCTGTGACTCGAAACTAGTAGAGCTTTTCTCTGTATATTCACGTGAGTATCCCACGATTTTTAGCTATCTTCAATCACATGAGAATTGAAATAATCTGATACTTATTAAAAATGCTACGTTAAAATGGTAGGTAATGATTGAGAAAGATCATGCAGATTCTAAGTAATCGCTAATTGTTGTCTTCTCCTATAAATTACAAAACATTTTTGAATCACCAAATCAAAGTCAAAATCAATTTCAATTAGAAAATTTCAATTAGACCAGGAAGGCACCTTTGACGTCAACAAAATAATTAAAGTGAAGCTATTTGCTCATTCCAAGGTGTAGATTCCTATGAAGAAGAGATATGAAGAAGACGAGCTCTTCTCTATATGTTACTCTTTTTCAATCAGGTCGATCAGAAATCGGTTTTTCGATCAGACATCGACAGCCATCCTCAGAAACAATCACGATTCAATTACATTTGTCCTTCACAAATAAAGCATTAGCAAAACCATTTGTAGAAAGAAAAATGACCACATTGTTGATGGATTCCATTAGATTACTTCGTCACCTGTCACTACTACGGTGTTGCAATTAAAAACCCATCAAGTATGGGGTTCGTCTATCGCCATGACGTGCAGTGTATGACCATATGCCGGGAGCATGTTACGCAATGGTTTTATACTTCGAAACAATATCCATTACTTTTTATTCGTGAAAAAAATGAGTGTTGGAATAACGCTTCAAGTTCCAGTAAAATTGTTTAATTTTTTTTTTATAAAATGTTCAAAATATTTGATTCTTTTATGACAGTCGAATGTCAGGAAGCAATTTTTAATAAGTACCTACTGAATTAGTAGTGTAATGAGTAGCAAATGTAAAATATAAGTGCTACGCCTTTCATTTCCTGGAAACATACAGAAATGTACATTGTCATAGACTTTAATCAATGTCCATTTAGGTTCATATTCCTGTTACTTCCAGAAAGTGACAAATCCAATTCTGGATTCTAATAAAAGAACGTACTTTACTTAATACTATAATCTCACACTAACAAAGCCGCGGAACGAACCTAGTTTCACATACACAGTACCGCGACACGTGGCTACTTTTTTAAAATTGCGCGCACGCACGCCACCCCTCGCAATCACCCTGTCGATGTCGATGTATTGAACTATTTATAACGACAGGACGCCGTCTTCCTGCTTCACCAATTACACTTTAGACACTTGTTTACCTTACTAGCGGTTTTGAACCGTGCACCACTGCACTCGGGAGCCACCGGTAGGACATTGACCCGGACTATAAACTGCAGGATGAAAGAAATTGACGACGCGCGCTTTATGTTCTCTTCTTACTAATTTGAGTCTTTGGTAGAATGTACGAGTAGCAGCCAGCAGGTACGGACTACGGACTCTATTCTTCATTCATTTGCTACTGTTTTGTTTTGATTTAGTTTTTGATTTCTCTGTATTTTGTGAAATTATCCTATGAGTTTGGGTATCTAATTAGGGCCGATTTATCCAATGCCAGATAAATTTTAACTGAGGAGTAACTGAATATTTAAAAATTCTTCCATTCTAAAAGCTGTCAATTTTTAATGTCAATTTTATTCTACACTTAAGAATTAACCGATAATTGAAAAATTGGCCCTAAGACATCTTACATAGAAATAGAGCAAACTAACTAATTCAGTAAACACTTTAAGACATTTCGAAATTAAGACAATAATTATGAATCACAATTACCGACGCGCGACGTTACGTTTTATCGCCTTGTACATTTCACTTGATTAAACACTAAATTGCAAGTTATAAAAAGTATTCAATAGCGTTTTTCTAAGCCTGAGTGATATAATCGATCGGATATCGATATCGGTCGAGTGGTGACAGCAGAGTAGATTAAATTGATCACCACTCATAGGAAGTACTCATAAGTCCTTCTCACTGTCGTAAGAGCTTACGAAAGGACTACACTTAGTATAGGCAGCAACGCTATCTGATGAAACTAAACCTTTTATAGGTACCTTTTGTGATCTCTAACCATAGCATTTAGGCAGAACACCAAGCAGAGGAATCCCCTAGCTTAATGCTATATGCTAATGCACAGGAGTTAGACGTAATTGTAGAAATACGTGCAGTGTTTTTATTTCGTAGCTCGATACTACGAAATAAAAATTTCGACGATTTTCGTAGCTATATATTGATAACACTAATGTCCTAGATCCTAACCATAGTTAATAATTGGTTCACATCAATTAGCCACCAAAGTTGTATCTACTTCGCCTTTGTATCTATGTACCGTATTTTGATTATTTACCCTTATAAACATTAACGTTATATTAAGATTGACTCACAAATGTGTCCCGAGATTTGTCAGTTTTTTATTAATATCTACTTAAAACAATTCATAACTTCAGAGTATATACAAATGCACCTTATATATATATCTATTAAATAATATAAATATATATTTTTGTAATTATGAGAACAGTTAACACAAAGTTGATCGCTTATTTCTCTCAACGGAATCATAGATACCATCTTAATATCAGAAATAGTAGTTAAAGTTGGTACACCTAAACACTAGACATGTTTGTGGGTGTTTTGCCGCCAAAACATAACAAGTCATACCAACACTATAGATATATATGGACAGAGATGAAGGAAGCTAGCTATGAGAAGTATTTACTCCTGCGTAAAGGGGCAAATGAAATAAAGATATTTGAAATAATATTTACCCCTGTTGTCATCGCTTGAGAGAGCACCACATCTCTGATCTCACTAACACCTTGTCCAAACACGACATATAAACGCGCCACCGGCAGCATAAGAGTTATATTTCTCTAAACCCTAGGGATTAAATCATAATGAAATCACGTCCACAACAAAACACTAAAATTAGGTTGCCAACACGTTCTATACCACACAAAACTCAATAATTATCTCAAACTATTGAATGTTACTTGCATACAATGTTTATATTACCAGCTGGTTTTACGTAACGAGCCAAACACCGCCCTACAGGCAGAGAACACCGAAAACTGAACCCACTGAAAGATGTTTTAAGTATACTGCCCGCATACATCGCTACAGAAATATAAAAGTGGTATTCGAATTTGCTACAACGCCATCTATTGGGTAATAGCGAAACTTAAACAGAGGTAAGAATATATATCAGCGCCATCTATTGACTAATAATGAAACAACATTATAATGCCATCTCTTATGTAATTACTGTACTACTTATACTGCATAATTACTAAAATTGAAGACAGATGGCAATCTATGGAAAAATTAATTAAATTTTCTTTTATAAATCTTAGGGATTCCAAGTAACACCGTATTTTTTGCTTAATATTTTCGTACCAAACAATATTAAATTTATTTAAATAATTATTTTATTTTTTATTTTTAATCGACATTACTATAAATGGCATTTCACATCACATGTTAGTTAAACGTCAATCTACCGTCAGTGTCATATTTATGTGAAAGTTGTGATTTGTTTTTGTTTTTTTTAGTAAAATTAAATAAAATTATAAAAGAAACTGACAAAAAAATTTAATAAACTAGTAGAAAATTGCAAGGAATTATTGAAATAGTGCTTATTCATCATGGTTAAAGTATGGAAACTGGGATTGATGAGTTACGACACTGCGTTCAAAATTCAAATGGCGCTGGCTAGGAAGCACTTGGATGCTGTAATGAAGGGTCAAGACTCCACTTGCGACACTCTATTGCTTGTGGAACATAAACCAGTCTTCACTGTCGGTAGGTTGTCATGACATAACCTAAAACTCCAATTGGAAAAGCCCTTGGAGCCAAGTAAAACTATATTGAAAATATCTTACATTCATTCAGCTACAGACCCTTATATTTCATTAAATTTCTGCAGTCTTAAATTAAAAGCCTTATATTTAAACCATATTATTCTAGGCAACCCAAATAATTCACTCATGTTGTTTGTAAATTAATTTATCTCCTAACTTTTCATTCTAGGAATCAGAGATGACACCTCGAAAAATGAAATTATGCGGCTCCGTGCTCTTGGAGCTGAGTTTAGGAAAACCAACCGAGGTGGTCTAATCACATTTCATGGACCTGGCCAGTTGGTTGCTTACCCAGTGATAAACTTAAAGCATTTCAAGACAAGCGTCAAATGGTATGTGACCAGCTTGGAGGAGACTGTCATCAATGTGTGTGATGAGTTAGGTGAGAATCTCAAGTAGATTTAAACATAGTCAAATATTTAAATATGGAACATAATACTTAAAAATCTTAATCCCTCAATAGGTGGATGTACCTATAAAATTATGCAATGTAACACATCCCTTTCGTCAATTACATAATTATCCATGTAATAGAGGGTAACCCGACATAAGTCCTAAAAACTTTCAGTATTAACATAGAATTTCGAATTTTAATATGTACTTGAATTGTTATAAAATACCTACTCAATTAGGAAGTATTCCTCACTCACCAACTTAAAACAAAATTCAGTAGTGTAATTGCTTTTTTTACATTTGCAGGTATAAAAGGCACAAGGTCCCCATACACTGGAGTGTGGGTAGATGACAATAAAATAGCTGCTATAGGCATACATGCGTCCAGGTATGTCACTACCCATGGAATCTCACTCAACTGCGACAATGATCTGTCATGGTTCAACAATATTGACCCTTGTGGCATTGAAGATAAGGGTGTCACCTCACTCACCAAAGAATCTGGTGTTGAATGCTCAGTAGAGAAAGTTACACCCATTTTCCTAAAATGCTTTAACAAAGTCTTCGGCTGTGAAACTGAAGAAATTGATTTCAAAACTCAAGAGGAAATACTAAACAGTGTTTATAACAAACTAATGATACAAACAGCCAGTTCTTAAGACAAAAATATGCAATTTATGATTGTGTTGTTTGTCAATCTGAATCTTGTTAGAATTTTACTAGGGGAAATTGATAGAGTGTTAGTATTTATTTACAATTTGATGGTTACACAATAAAAAAAGGTTAAATTTGTACAGTTTATTTCATTTCTGAATTAAAATGAAAAGTAAAATAAATAGATAAATTAAAAATTAATTTAAATAAATAAAGAAGAAATCTCAAGTTGGGTTAAGAGAAACATGTGGCAGTTTGTACACATACGGATGTACAAAGTGTGTTCTACATTTCATCGAAACCCAACTGAAAGTTCACAAGTCATACTAAGCATTGCAGCACAAAGTCAATAAGGTAACAGTATATTTACAAATTGATTTAGTTTTTGTTCTCGTAGTATAAAATTGTTTACCTCAAACTGTTGTAAAGTGTATGAAATAGTATTTATGATTACCATAAAGTGTTACAAAAATGCAAATAGTTGTGACTATTATTACTCCTACAATAATTAATTGCCCTATAACTAACATTACCAATGTAGACAGTTCAGAATAATCCCCTAAAATCAATGTATGATGAATGCAAGCTTTATAATTTTTCAGGGATTATTCCAAACATTATTTTGTAACTACTGATATGATGAGTACTCAAAAATTGTACAAAAACTGGTCAGCTAACTTAAGTATTATAATAAATGCATTGTCTTAAACTGTTAAAATTATCTAATAAATGCGATATTACCCTTTAAACTGCAGTATTAAGGGGACAAAGTAAGATTTTATAAGTTGATTTTATCTACTCATACACCTACTTAAAATTAATAAATGCAATAAATTACTCCTAAATTAAATGCAAATCACGCGGTGGTTACAACAATCATACCAAACATTAGGCGTCAAAATTCAATTCTCAAATCTATACACCACGAAAATATTCACGGAACCTATACTAAATGGACGGATATTGTCTGAGAATACATTGTTTACTGGTGTTCGTCAGTCAGTTGTATCACATGTTCGTCAATACAAGACAAGCAGCGGGACGTGGCGCCCCAGTGAGTCGAGACCAACGTGAACATAGCCTCTCTAAGATTAAATATAATTATGACATGTGCTTGGGCGGTGCCAGCCACTTGCGCATGTAGTAGCAGAAGATGGTCGCGATGTATAGCAGGACAAGCAGGGCGCACGCCACACCCAGCAACAACACGGACGCCTTGCTGGGGCACGGCTCCACGATCGTTACTGTTTTTTCTGGAAGAAAAACGATAGATTAATTTTCTTATTTGCCCTCACGCGTAAATAACATTGTAGAAGTGCACAGCAGATTCGACATTATAATTACCTCCAAAGTTGGCTTCAGATGCCACGCCTCCAGGCTTGTCTGACCGTAGGAAGTCTGTGCTCTGTCTTTCATCACCGAAGTCAAGGACCAGGATTTCTTGTGAAATGTTCATATCTTCTTCCTGACTGTGTGCCTCACTGGTCTCGTTATGGGGCAACGAACGCTTCTTTCTGCCCCACGACTCCAAAGAATCTCGGCCCCATTCGCACACCGCCTAAAACATGTTAAACGACTTGTCATTTGCGTAATTTTACCGTGACTAACTGAATTAACCGTTGCTAATAGTCACATTTGAAAAAAAAATGCAAACACCCATTTCTACAAAATTGGTGATTCACGCGTCACTCACCGGTTCACAAGGTCCAAGACAGTACTTGACGTTACATTGGAAGATGACTCCGTAAGATTCTGTGAACCTGAAGGCTTCGTACACGGATTGGAGTGCATTGCCGTCAGGAGTAAACGCCGGGAAAATTGATGGGTCCAAAGGACATCTAAAAATATAGACTGGTTAAAAGCCATTCTCTACAAAACAAAATATAATATGAGTGTTAAAATTTACCAACCCTTCATCATCGATAATCGGGAAAGTGCTCTTTGAGTCCTTCGCCATAGCGACACAGCTGCGGGCGAAGATTCCATAAGGAGCTGGGGGAATAAAATGTAAATGTTAGAACCTGCAATTTCGCGCGTAGATAAAAGAACATCTCCATTCGCCATAAAATTAAAATGCTTACTGTCTTCGGGGATCTCGATGCGGAAGGTAAGCCTGTCTCCAATACGGACGGTCTCCACCTCGCGTTGGCGAGCGTCCAAGATACGGATGCGTGGTGGCGGTGCCTCGGGCGCGGCAGTGATGGAAATCATCTCCGGGTCTCTGTATAATTAAGGAAATATTCAGAATTCTTGACATCAAAAACTATTATTCTGCAATTACTTCTTCAAAATTATTTATTAATGTGTGTGCAGAGACATAATGGTACCCTTTTCATGGCGATAGAGATGGTATCAGACTTTTCAAAATTCATTAAGAACACGTTTGAACAGATTTTGGTGTTAAATTGCTCATCACGTCCACTGGCCGTATCTTGCTGATGTGAATCTAATTGTTACGTGTTTACAATGCAGCACCGATATTGGGTCGATGGAATTTAAAATCGTCTTGGCATGAAGGCATGTCGAAATAGCACCCGTTTTTCATATTACTGTAACATATCACGTAACTTTGTCTCTTGACAGACTCGAATAAATTATACGGTAAATCTTACTTAGCATTTTTGCGGTACTTTGCCTACTTCATGAATGAATCGTATTCAAAAAGCAGCTCACGACAAATTATAGCGATACGATGTGAAAGTCCCACTGACCTGATTGGTACCATTCCGAATGTGATGTTCTTCGAGCTCATGTCGTATGTGCACTTGACTTTGTAAATCTTGTCCGCTTTAGTCATCACTACGCTGTGATGTTGGAGGACGACGGTGTTTGAGTATACTCCAGTCTTGGAAGAAAAATCACGTTATTATTACCGCATACTGAATACACATTCAGTCGTCTCTCCAAATGTTTAGATTGATACTTACGACGCTCTGAGTGTTACAATCTTGGCCAGCCATGGTGAGGTCGAGTCTGAATAGGTCGCTGTTAACGACGTCAATGTTGCAAGTCTCGAACGTCCCAAAGCGTAAATACGTCCATTGAATGGCTTGTTCGTGCGCACTTGGACTGCGATTCTCGTGTCCTTGCAGAGCACGGAAACTGAAACAATAAATTTTATATAGAACACGTATCTTTAGTGATAAAGGAAAATAAATAATCGTTTATCAAAACTTACCATCGTAGCAAGTTCCAGTTTTGTCGCAGTTGGCATCGTTCCTCGTCAGGTTGCTCGACATGTTCGTGTCTTGTTGATGCTCAATCGTTACCGGGAGCTCGCCAGGAGGATTCGCGTTATTAGGCGGCTCTGAAACAAATAACAAAGAGTTAAAACACAAATAGACAATTCAAGAAGCAAATAAAACCTGAGAATGCATCAAATTACAGAGTTGTTGGTTAATAAAGCCTAATAAATGCATGAATCCTGGGTGCATGTCTATTCGAACCTCTGATTAGGCAGAGGCAAATGGACGTGCGCAGGGTATATTATAATAATCGAATCAAGATTGCTACAACGTACTGCGGCGTACGCGGCCATTCTAAGTGCAACCTAACCGAGCATCATACGCGTACCTCGTTGGTGCAATTATCGTCCCCTATGCTGAGCACAGCTCCCTCAGTTAGCTATTCTAGGTGTTCGCACGCAATCACTACAGACTGCCAGTTGAAAGTTCTCACAACCTCGATTCTAGGGTGTTCTCTTTAATGCATCGTTAAAATAAATGACTGAACTGTCATCACATAAGTACATAACCGTTTTAATTAACAAGTTTTGCTAAAAATTTGGTGACTGGTAGCTACATAAAATTGATTTAAAATCGGGAGTACAACAGTAGAACAGTAGAGATCGGCAAGGTATTAGGTGTCTAACTTTAACCGTTCCGAATCGATTTCTTGGCATAGTGGCAATGTCTGGATACATTCACGACCGCCCGGCCAATAATAAGGTGACGTAAACAAGATTTAGGCCGTTGACCGCTAAGTGTTGGACAAAGGAGGATCTCGCCCACAGCTTTTTGCCACGCCATTGGCCGTTTATGGAACTATGAACAATAGTGCATAAAGATGAAAGATATTTGGACCAAAACTTGGTAATGATAATAAATAAATAGGTGTTTTTGTCATTTTTTCTGGAAATGTTATTGTACGAGTAACAAAGAACATTCTATTACGCCAAGGTAATTAGACCGATTATACAAAGCTTTTGAATGCAATTACTTATTTATTGTGATCAGTTTATGCACAAAACCCAGAAATCAGAAAAGAAGGTAAGATCAAGGAATTGGTAAACCTGAGTGGAATGATTGACGAAGAGTTTCGAATCTTTATGGACATCCCAATTTAAACTTAGGCACGTCTGGCATAGCGTTTAGCGTGGTGCCTTAAATCTTCTCGGGATATCGTCAAAAATTACATCCATGTGATTCTGACTCATGAAAATTTGAAATAAGATGACTACCTATCTATACCTATATATGTATATGGGGTGCTCAGAAGGAGTTATGTAAATAAGCTTTTATTTTTACGTAGAAAAAAAAAACAGCATAAACAATTAACTACCAATGTGTATTTGTTATTGTCAGACGTACCTAATGAAGTTTTGTATTGAATTATTGTAAAATGGCTATTGACAAATGAAGTATATTTTATTACCAATGTCCAACGTAAATACAAGTTCTAATATAAAATTAAATAGCCTTCTGTATGACTCTGCATCGATATTCAAATGATACTTTACCTACACGTCGATGCTGGAACTATTATGCTAATGACACCCTTAAAGACTATATAGTCTGGAGTCCTCATTATTCCTGTTTGGAAAATAATTTATGAGTTACGATGGGAGAACCAGGCGTCACTAATATCGAGTTGTAGACCAAAAAAAGAAAAAAAAATAACGCGCTTTCATCTTGATGTAGTGCGCTGTAAATCATTAAGTGTGCTTACCGTAACTTATGAGTTAGTTGAACACAGTAAATCTTCATGCGATGGTATGTAGAATGGATAAAGAATATATACGGTTTGGGTCAAATGTGTTGGACAATACATAATTCGTGAAGTGCGAATGAACTTCAAAAGTCCTAACGATGACTAATAAAGGCGTGGTTGTCAATATTTTAATTTCTGGGGCCCAAAAAAGATAACTTGATTTTTTAATCCGTCATTCTGTTGATCGTGCCTTGTTTCCGAGCCGGAGTCGATGACACCGCTGCAGCAACGAACAGCATATTTGCAACGCTTCAACGAGTTGTAAAAAACTTATCAACAACTTCCCACGGTCGCCTTAATAATGTTCAACTTACAATCACTTAACGCAGGTTACGTGCTCAGTATAATTTATGTGTAGAATAAAATTTATAAGTCTAATATTACTAAAACGAACCTACACTATCTATATTTTTCACTACCGATTTCTCAAAATACCATCAATAAATCTCCAAAATCGAAAAAATATGAAATCGGATTTCCCTGAAATTCAGCTAGAACGAATTGTTTGCCAAAAAGTTACGACAAAGCAATATTCCTAAAAATACCATTGACCGAACTTATTTTCAAAGAAATTACCGAATATCAATACCATCTCCGACTTACCTACATTCCGTAAGTAGGCTTCACCTCGTTTTTTTGCCAAAATACGAGAGATTTTTACAAAAAGATAAGTTTAAATCTTAAACTGATTTTCCTTTTTTCGTTTTGTGACTGAATTTGTTCACAGTTTGTCGCTAGATTAGGTTGGAGATTGAACGTGGCCGTGCTCAATGAAAGATCAGACGTTTTATAGGAGCAAAACGACTGATAGCCATCTTAGGAACATTTTTTACAAGACCATAAGGCACCGTAGTGCCTATTCATAGTTTTTCTGTTCACTTTTGTATCTGTGGGTTGATTTCCCTTCAAAGCGACATACATATTTATTAAAGCTCATAAACGTTATACAATATGAAGGGCAGAAAAACTAAGGTATGGTCGCCATTCGCGGTCGCGTGTTCGGAAGTGTCCGCTTAAGGATATAACGGGCCCACTGGATATCAAGACAGGGTTCCGTATGCAATCTTGTTACTGAGATGCAATGCCGTTATCTTACCACTAGATTGTCGATGCCTGTAATAAACTTGTTTACCCATTTACTCATAACTTCACGAGCTGTACTTTGACAACCTGCCGAACTGCATAGATAAACCATCAGTTTAAATACTTCTACACATTTATTAAGGACATGTCTTCCGGCTTCTACAAGATACCATCTTTAGATCAACTATTTCGAAATTATTAAAAGCTTTTTCTACTAAATTACCGTGAAAAAATATATTGGACAGCAAAAGTATTTTCAATTTATCTAAATTGTTGCATAAATTCAATTAAGTATTCGATTAGCAGCATGCGGTGCGCGGGCGCTGACCTGCGCAGCGACCGCATGTATCGGCGCGCGGGCAAGGCCGCCCAAGGCCGTTATACTCGCTGCTATATAAACGACGCGCTTCAAATTAATAACCGCCCAGATTAATGCTTAATTAAGCGGATGAAGTTAATTCCCGTGGAATGTACTAAACCCACCAGAAGACCTATTATCTTTATTTACAACCCTGGCCATATTTAGCTCTAACGCACCTAAATGGAAACACTAATGAATTTTCACTTAATGATAGGTACACAATAAACATTGCGTACATATCTCGAACTAATTGACAATTCCATTAGCCATTAATATCTCTCGGTGTGTGGCTGCTGGACTTTCTAGTGGCTGTGCCATTTCCTTATTATACGACCTCTGCACTTGATTATCTTGGTGATCCACGCACCAGATAAGTGTATAATTTGCGTAATTTCATGAGGAAATATTAAATCAGCTGTGATTTAAGTTAACTTTCTCGGTATTTTATAGATTTTTTGCCGCAGCCATATTTCCCGTGTTCTATATCCACAGCAGCTATTATCTCAGATGTAGGGCTGCACGACGATGAAGCCGCGTTTTCGGGCGCCACAAAAAATCCTATTCAATTTGTGTATGGCCACCGTTATGAGAGCACGCACGATCGCCGCTATCATCGCCGCCGCCTCATCTCATACAATACCACTGTTCTTTGATAGTTTTTGCAGCAAAATGCAGCGTCTGTTATCATGACTCGGCACATTCTCTCATTGTAAACATAACTAACGAAATTATGCTAAGGTATCATCGACGCCGGTGTGGCTATTCACTGTGAATACACCAATTACAATGCTAAATAGATACCGTCGGACAAGGTTCCGCTTGATCAATTCTGTAATGAATATCACTTTTATCGAATATATTAGTGAAGCCGCGCATCAGACGTGGGACGTTTTTATGCTTGTGAATCACTTTATTGATATCGTGACGTAATGACAATAGTCTTTAAACGTTCTCATTATTCATCTTCGCCGCAAAGCTTAACCTCATAATATTTCTAATAGGATTACTCCCATTACTGTCTTACAGAAACCCCTATTTAGAATAAAATTTCCCATAATTCCTTTGGTCTAACTAAATTACTATTGCAGTTCCTTATTTCGATCATAAGATAACCTCGGATCTGTGTGTAATTATGTTTTGTCTATAGATGAGGAAATGCAAGGGATTGAGTTTGTAACGGTATCAGTGCGGGAAAATACCTGTGTAGCTGATTATTTTATGTGTGTTTTGGCCTACCTATAGAATGAATCGCCGGTAGACTGATGCCAATCTTAATGCCATAACACGGCTTTACGTAATCGAGTAGCAGGCATCCCGATTGCTTATAGCGGAACACCCATCCGTGCTATGAAATTATCCCTAACAAGCTATTTGCACTTGGCTAAACGTAAACTAAACAACTTCTCGTTAGAAGCCACAGCGATCAGTTTGTATAGTTTCGTACCGCACGTCAATAAAAGTGAATATCCGTCTACTGTCTTCATCCGAAAGTTACATGGTCACGATCTGTTCCTTATAACAACATGGCAGAGCATTATTTTCTCTTAACAGCCAGCATCATCTCCCGTACTCGTAGTTGCAAATCGATTGTATCGGTTCGATCGAGGCGAGTCAACTCGATTAAAGTACATCGAACGCTTTTGACCCTGACCCTGCAGCATGCGGCGTGGCGTGAGATATGGACTCGCCAGTGTTTACGTCTTGTTAGAGGTTCCGACTTCAACTATTAGGAGATTCATGCTCTTAACTTGTCGAGAACTACGGACTGACGTATTTAGAAAATGCAGTTACAGTTCCCTCATTGAAAATGCATCGCCACATTTATCTGAAACTTGTTTTACGGTATAAATCTGTAAAGTGTCAATCGAGATGGCATAGAAGTGCCGATCAGTCCTGAGTTTATGATAACACGCAAAACACGTTAAATCACCTACATTTTCATTAAATGTCAAGTAATACAATTTCTAACAGTTAAACGGTTCGTTGAAGTGTTGCGGTTGATCCACGGCGTTGGCTCACACCATTCTGTTTCTACGTCTAATCTGATAAAGTGGCAAAAACAATATGTATTGTATGTGGCAGACATTTCTCACGACTACCGTAGCTGTAGGTGAGAAGTTATTCATCACTTCGCCGCAGCCGCTGAGCAACGTTTAACAATTAACTTCCGTTGCTTTAGCCTACGCTAATGGCGTTATTATAGAGATTTGCATCGCTTTATTGTGAAAAATCATAATTAGCGTCGTTTTTTTAACATTCACTTACTGATCACTCATGTTTGTTTGCTAGTAAACCTTTAACATAGCTAAAAGAGATATATCTATGAATAAGTCGACGTCGTTGTCTATTAGACGCGTAGAGCATCTATCTGGCGCGTCGTCGTAAAACATGATCATGACGTTAGCAAATACGTATCCCGTTGCCCGCTAACGAGCGCCAGTAATAGCATATATTTCAAATAAAAAGCCCACAGAGTTTTTAGGGTTCAAATGATCGAGCACTTTTTCCTCGACCGCACGTCAATTTTATGACTAGGTCTTATAGATAGAACTGATTCTAGAAGAACCTGTCCGGTCTCTTAAAACGAGCACTGACAGCTTTATTGTCAAATTCACCTTTTTTCACAAAATTCGAGTGACTCAAAACATAAAGTCGGTCACCGCAAATCACCGCTACTAATGTCAGTACGTTTCCCAAACAATAACAGAACTCTTAAAATCAAATAAAAAAACGAAACCACATGCTTTTGGTAGAAAGTGGTACTTTTTATCGAAAAATTGCGGTAACACTACTTTAAAAATAATATAAAAAAATCGTTGATAATTCCCAGCTTTCTAGGAAAGCGTGTTAATACCGGGCTGACGTGTAACTGTATCGGACATTGCACGTTGCGCTGATTACGTTCTTAACAAAAACCGTTGGCATGTCTTGCCAATGTGTTATTATTGAGCTGTATGCATACGCGTTTTATTCATATAAAATTTAGTAAGAGATTGTAACTAGGCTCTAAATTATAGGTGTCCCTAATCACGCATACGGTTCATTGTTAGACAGCTGTTCTAAACATACCTTGCTCTTTTTCTCAACATACCTTATTCTCAGACCTACTAAAAACAATATTTTATCTAAACAAAAAGATTTTTTTATTTCCCTTTTAAGAGGAACAATGAAACCATAGATCAGCCGTCTAATCCAGCACTAACTGACTTTAATTGCAATTTTTTCTTAACACTTTCCTAATACGTCATATTGCGCGTGCCTTCCGCTTCCTACGCCTTAAAAAAGAATACATTGCCTTGATTTATAAGTACGTAAGTATTAAACCAGTTGTAGAATAGTTTCTCCAAGTATTATTTAAGTGATCGCTTCTCTCTTATTTGTCTTTTTTTAAGTTAAATTACAAACGATCGCACGCCGACTGCACACGCGAAAATTGTAAATAAGAACTATACGTTACAATCACACATAGACACACAGATCATAAATAGCTGGTTAGGAAATTACGGTTTGTAAAAAGAAATCTCTTCTTGGAAACCCCCAAAGTCTTAGTTAAGTTATCGTCATTAATTTTAAGTCTAATTTTACCAAAAGTATGTTACAAGATTTTGTGATTCGAAAGGGCATTAGAGAAAAGAATCTGTCTTGGAACAGACATAGAACTTCACTTTTTAACTTCACGTCGATACTATAAGAGTCTAACCACTCCATTACTTGAGTAAAAGAAGCAAATAGAACAAGAGTACAAAATCGGCAGCGGATAATTACTTCATTCCTACTCGCAGCCAATTTACAGAGGTAATGACGTACGTAAACGTTTACACCAATCACTTTACCGACCACTTACGTACGACAGTCTCGCACATTATCGCGAAATACTTGAGCCTACAACACTAGCCATACAAACGGACAATGTATCGACTTCGAAGAAAATATACTGACATACAAATTGCTTTCACGTACAATTCTATGCTTCGGACTTCATACAACACGAAGGTAACGCGTAACAAATATTAATCATATCCTCTTTGCGAATTAAATGGCGTATTAATGTCGACTTAGATAGCACTTTTATATTTTACGATGATCATTTTGACAGCACAATGGACTCGAAATCCAATAGACAATGTTTAGTATTTAAATAATGCATCGCATGGCATTAGTTGAATAACGCAACATAGTAAGGCGAGGTAATATAGGTATATTATTTACATTTTCCCGCGTCGCTGCCTACAAGGGTGAATGTACCTGCACCTAGGCCAGTGTACCAGCCGGCAACAAGCTTCATTTAATTGTCAGCTATTATTGCAAGGTGTCATTAGCTAGACCGACATTCGTTCTACTTTCTTATCAAAGACATATATTCAATTAATTTAACTGCGGTTTTTTGATTTACATAGTCGTGCATATTAATATATAGTCCTAATTAGTAGCGAAGTTTTAATATTAATGCTAGCTGTATGTATATGTGTTTGCGATCTTGCCTTTGTTTATGCTAACACATAGATTTAATCTTGGAGATGTCGAGTAAAGTATAACGCTGGATTGTAGATACTGCTCTTCATCATAGCGGCGACTAAAACTCCTCCCACAGAAATATGGCGCTATCAAAAGAAAGTACTAACAATAAATACTTCAGAAAGTACGCCAGGTTCGATCTCTTCCGTGATTCAGTTCTAGATGGCCGGCTTCCGCTAAACGTACGACCCAATAATAAGCCCTGTTCGCTGCAGTTGTAAATAACACATTGTATGCTCCCGTCCGACGTAAATATATGCATTACGTGCAGTTCCACTTTCTAAGTAAATTATATTCTTTACGACACTATGACCAGTGAAATGTAACCAATTTATGAACAGAAATATTGCTACTATGAATAGTTTTATACGATCGTATTTTCAAAAGTCGACTTGTGTACATTGTGTAAGCAAGTCTTATAAAACACTAGCTTCTGCCGGCGACTTCATACGCGCAATCCCATTTTCTCCCGTTCCTATAAGATTTTCAGGATTTTTTTTCTATCATAATAAGTTTCTTCTGACAATAACAACAACAAAAATCAGCCAAATCGGTCCAGCCATTCAAGTTATGGCGTGACAATGGGAAACGGGTTTCATTTTTATATATATAGATTTTCAATTACACTTCTTCGGTTCTTTTAACCAGTACCCCACTGTATAATTTTGAATTTATATGAAACAATAGGGTACAAAAATGAGAGCTTTTAAATTCATTATTACCTACTCCATCTTCAGATGATTGAGGTGTAGTCACAGCGCCGGGATCATGTAATTATTGACCATATGAAGTCATTACAAGATTTTAAATTAAGGCCAGTATTATTTTCCCATTATCAATAGGCGACAGAGCGTAATAACATACTAAAAATATAAATAAAACATTAATGTCACCGTGTTCTATAGTTTTTTGAACCGTCCAAAGTGGTTTATTCAGTTTTTAGTCGACTACAATTTACTGCGACTAGTACCTGATGTATCTCGGCTCGGCGCCTGCGCACTAGCGAGTTTAAATAAAACAGTGTTGTTATCGTTATAGCTTCGACCCACACTTTAAACTGGGTTAGTATTGCAAAATACATGTTTCAGATTTATGTTTTCCCATTTTCTTTCACTGCAATAGAACCTTAATAAAGTAGCAACATAAAGTAATAGACTACATTGTCGATAAGACCAGTATTCCATGTAATCGGTTCCACATTTATAATTATGTAAATAAATAATGTAAGTACTCACTTTCACAGAAGTTCTCGAAGTACTTTCCGATGGGTTCTCCATCATCGATGAGTGGTCTCTCAGCGTTGAGGTAGGCTGAAGGTCCATCAGGCAGGGTGTGGTGGTCCAAATGGTACAGTCGGCAGTTGTACGCGGCTGAGTGAGGGGGGCCCATGTAAGGTAGGAGCGACACAGGAACTCTGACTCAATTTCGCATGCGAGCCGGCAAGCTGCTTCGGATGTAACCTGATCGAATACAAAACAGACGGCCATATTAAAGATAATGACAACGTGATTCATGACCATTTTGTATGGCAGTCCCACTGCGTAACACCTACGCAATTAGATGAATATTTATTTAACACCTGGAGACGTATGAAAAGGATGTACATATCACTGACAATAAAAACAAAACGACTCGAGTCTTGAAACAACATGATTGTGTGGGTGTAATAAACTGACGTAGGTAATGGCTCCTATCTTCCAAGTTGAATATTTCATAAATTCATTCTTATCTAGTAGCCAGCATTGCCCCACTCATAAAATCACTAGTGTCCATAATAAGAGGCGATATATCAGTGTCTTAAGTTTACAACGATTGCATACGAAAGTTAAGTTAATTGCAACGTCTTCCTTCTTGCGATTATATACAAGTGCACACGATTTAACCTCTGCCACTTCTCGTTAAACCAGTGGGACGCGGAAAAGGACAGACCCGCAGTCGAAACCCATTTAGACGACAAGTAAATATAATTAGAAAGTTCCCACAAATGACAGATCATTTTGCATTGCCATAAAGGACCGAAGTGCAAATTATGAAGACTGTAGAGATATCATCACAGAAACCAATAAAGGTATAATAAAACGCAAGCATATTTCCCCGCTTACCCTACTCAAATGTTAATAGGCGCTTGTCAGCAACGCGTCTTTTTTGCATATCCTATTTCAAATAGGACCTCTGTATTACCTACATTACTATGATTGGAAGCTAAATTGAATCGAGTGCTGGATAGCATAAAGTTTATAATTGGTGTGATAGATTACCTGCAACTCCTTGTCGGTGTAGTAGTGTAGGCCGGCGTACTGGGCCACCTTGTCCTCGGCGACGCCGATGCGCGGCGCTGTGAACACGCGCTGCCCCTTGCACGCCTGCGACGCCTTCAGGCACAAGTTCTGCACGACCACACACCAACCAAATCACGTCAAATAACACACAACAATGGTAATAACGTTAACTGAATACATGTTTATTTTCACGACCAGCGTTCAAACGGACCGCATTACTATTGTGATTGGTTTCTATGAAGCCAACCAAAGCGCCACTTCAAGTAATTTAAAGCTGGTACGATATAAATGAGCCAGGTGAGTAATTTTAAGTCGAATGTTTCTTGTATATTGCAAAATATGAGCGACAGAAGAATGTGAATCTTGTTTTATGATGTCAGCTGAAATTGCTTTAATAATCTTAACGTCGCATTGAGTTGAATTATTGCTGCGAATTATGTTAAGCGTTGCTCTGTTTAAAGTTTAGTTGCGACGTTAAATGGTTTGCTTTGTAACAAATGGGAGGTTGTAAGTGTTACATAAATGAGTGTAGTTTTGTGTTTAATGTGTTTTACCTCGAAGTAATCGGTGCCGGGCGTGTCCACGAGCTGCACGAAGTGTTGCGCCGTGCGTCGGTCGGAGTCGCTGAGCGAACACCGCATGCTGCCGTATTCATACTCCGCTGAACGGCACGGGAACTTTTTCTAAACAACATGAAACGTAAGAATGATTAGCTCTCATTTACAGTAAACCACGTCAGCTGTAAAATACCATGATTGCCTACGAAACCATAGCAAGATAATGTCTGTATGAGTTACAATGATTCATCACTAGACACTTGAAAAATAATGTTGATTGTATTTCTTATCATATTGATTGCCCATGTAATGCGAGACAAAACTATAATAATATGTTACTTGTCTCGAAACTCTATCTCCTCTTAAGATCTGTCCAACCAATTAAGCCATTCCTGTGCACTATGATCAAATTAAATGCAAAGAAACAATATGGCGACACTATCTTTAGTTATGTAAATATCGCTTGTAGATCCAACTGGTTGTAAATGAAAAGATTACAATGTGCGGGCTACAGACGCATATTTACGAACTTACCTCCTTATTGTATCAATTTATATAATTATAGACTAGCACAAAGCGATACAATGTTACGTTAAAATTTTACTTTTAAAGATCTTCAAGAATTTTATTGTGGCATCAACAGATCACTTCTTGGTTCCACATAAGATATTTTCACTTTTTTCATCACTATCACAGTATTTGTTCTATCTAGTCAGTTAGAACTAATACTAGAAATAGGTGGTAGCTAGTTACCTACTAAGATAAGTAACCTCAGTCTATATACTATACCTCTAGAATTCATGTCACTACACATAGATAACATGGGATACATTTTTCTATGAAACTAGACAGAATATGAAACCTTAAGCTTCACGCTAAATTGTCACATTCCTAACTACCATTCAGGTACAAGAACACAATAGAGCAGTATTTATAGTCGAGAGCGTATTGAAGGAACCCCTATCATTTCGTCGGTATCTTGACTACCACTACAAGTAGGGCAAAACCATAAATATAAATTGAATAGATAAACACTAAATTGCAGCGTAGTCTGATGTTTTCTTAAAGGCTCGTAGATAACTGAGCATTGCGACACGCCCCGAAAGACATCTAACGGCTACAGAATAATCTATGAGCCGATACCTCCTCAAAATCCTAGTGCCCTGGTATTTCATTATTTAGTACTCTAAATGCATGACTGCATAACATAAATCTTGTTTTATTTTATTTTATTTCTCCTCCCACGGTTTATTAAAGTCCTTGCGATGTCAGTACGGATGCATTTCCGTTAACATTTTTTAAATAGGCATCGCAATGATCACGGTTGTAAGATAAGGAATAAACTGGGATTGCCATTAATAAGGGCTTGCCTAAGGCACTTTGGTTTAGATATGTAGTTTAACTAACAGACAGAAGTTGAAAAAGTCTTAAAGTGAACTATACTAATCTATAGGTATTAAAGTATAACATAAAATCTAAAATTACATTAAGAAAGGGAACTCTTGAATGTGTAAGTAGTTTAATAGCTACAAATTTGGAATCACATTCTCGTTGAAAACTGACTTGCTGGTCGAGTGTTCGCAAGTGCGACTGCAGGGCAAGGGGTCTTGGGTTCAATTCCCGGGTCGGGCAAACTATTACTGGGGTTTCCAAGAATTCTCAGTAGTAGCACAGAGCCTGGAATTGTGCCCGGTATATGACAATCGGCTCACCCCCTATTACATGGGACTCATACCATAAATAGTTAGAATTGAGTGTTACAATCTATTGTGATACTGTGGCATTAAGTGCCGTAATGTGCACCTCGGCCTACCCCTTCGGGGATAAAAGGCGTGATGTTATGTTTGTTACGTAAAATTGGAATCAATACTGGTCTTAACCAGATATGGATAAACTTCCGGGCAATATTTTACAGAGTGGCACTACACATACAGTGTTTACGTCATAGCCTTTTTTTTTGTACACATAATCCTAAGACAATCTTGTTACTATGATAGTTTACCTCGTTAAGACAGGCGGCGAGACAGGCTTCCTTGGTAGACGTGTAGATGACGGAGTTGTCGAGTCCGCGCAGCGCCTTGCCTGGCACTCTCTCGAACGCCCAGGGCCGCAGGCAAACGCTCTCTGTACGCACTTGCAGCTTCACCATGTAGTACGTGTTCACTGACCGCTGCACCAAAACATTAATCTCACTTTATGGCATCGTAATCGATAGTCCATTCGCATAAAATTTGCATACTCATTGGAAATAGCATTACTTTAAGTGCGAACGATTCATCTGATCAGATCAAAAGCAATTAGTTATGCAGATTTATTGATAGTTAAAATAGGCTTTAACAATACTTCTTTCAAAACGTTAGGGATTGATTACCAATTACGAGATAGAAAATACCAAAAAAATAAGCAGTCTTTTTGGCAACACTTAGTAAGTCACTATCTTTATTTGTTTTCAGCGGTTGTTTACCACCACATAATTTCATTTTAATTTCATTCATTCAAAATAAACAAAGAGAGTCTGTGTCGGGCGGTGGCGAGCCGCATCGTTTAACATCGTATATTTATTAGCGGCACCGTTCATTAGGCCTGAAAGCGATTAAACTGTCTAACGTTTAGCTGAACAGTTACAATGTAGTGGTGGCCAGTTAGGTTCCCGGGGACTGGTTGACCGATTTAATCTGAATTGTTAATCCAATCTCTGCATCGGTCGGCTAATTGGCAGTAGTGAGGGAATGCCAGGAGATAAGCGAGATAAATTTATTTGGCTATTAAATACGTTCACAGTTACCTGTTGCACCGTGCCCCAGACAAAGCATGTCTAGTAGATATTATGATAGTGTGTAACTAGATGGGAACATAAGTTTAGATAAGCTCTATAAACGGTTCGCAGATAACTACTTCAATTAGGCCGAGGAATGGCAAATTCCTTCGAACCAATTCTATTTCTTTGGTCGTATTGTCAGTCGCAATAACGTTAGATCGTACGTGCCACATGTTGGTGAGTGAATTAGTACGTACCTGTGGAGTGGCCATGGGGTTGTTGGCCTGAGTGTCGTTCTGAAGGAGGCATCGCGTTTCTTGCACCGGTGTCAACGGATTCAACACAAAGCTGTAACAAATATAGCAATTAAGGATGATGTAAATGGCCATTAGAGTTCAGTACTTCTACACAGCATCACTCGGTGTATTCATATCATCTATATATATAAAAGAAAGTCGCGTTAGTTACACTATTTATAACTCAAGAACGCCTCAATCGATTTAGATGAAAATTGGCAGGGAGGTAGCTTAGAACCAGGAAACGGACATAGGATACTTTTTATACAATACTTTTTTTTACTTTTACCGAAAATTACGAACGGGAACGGGGGAAAATGGGATTGCGCGTACGAAGTCGCGGGCAGAAGCTAGTTGGAAATATAAAGTCATTCTAGTCTTACTGCAATATTATAATAATTACTTATTCTACGTCTACAATAGTGGCTGGTTCCCTGCAAGCGAGACTGTAGTCTATTCAATAATAATCTTATAGCAAGTCATACTTTAAACAAGTAAAATGGCAGCCGATACTGTATAGATTCCAGACGCTATCGTTTTGCAAAATGGTCGTAAAATGCCTAATTGTATTTTATCTTAACAGTTTTTATTTTTACATTCATTGTGAGCAACCGGCACTAACTGTTGTTTTATTCCTACCGTAATCTTTCCAACATAGCGATACGGTCGTTTTTCAATAAAAGAGAGTCTTACATCCACGGTGCTTCACCTGTAAATCGGGCCAAATTATTTCATTAGGTACGATCCATTCGCCTAACTCCGGAGGATTGGAATTGCAAAGAAACCGTTGTACCGAGCCGTAACGAAATAAACACCGGTTTACAAAAATATGTGAAATGCGTCCGGTAACCACATTTTTGTTGCAATCAATTTACAAGTTGACATTTGTCGGACAGTTATACTTTTCTGCAAACCTACTTTGCACAATATTGACATAAAATGGACATTTTCGTTCACAATTCTTTGCAGAAATATTTGTCGAAAAATTGTGATAACTGTATCTAAAGATGGTCTACATAAAAACCGTTTACATAGTGTCGTTGAGGATTGTCATGACGAATCGTTTCGTAAATCTTTTGATATCTCATTCATCGATATCCATTCAACCGTTTCAGTCCAACGTGGGAATGGAAAAAGCATTAATATTTACTATATTGTGTTTGATTGACATAAGAAATAACATCAATATTTTAGCGTGAACGTGTTAACTGATGGAAGAGTAAATATTTATAGAATATCTATTAGTGATGGGTATCGTCACGGTCGGTTTGCCCATCCCGTTATTTATTTGTTATCGAACAATTTGCACAATAAAATGATTCGGGTTTTTTAGTAATTGAAGCATTTTACTTTAATTACTTCAAGTTAAAGGATTCTTTTTTAGTGTGGATGGTAAAAACATGGCAATTGTCGACTGGCACGTCGACGGATTGATTTTTTAGTAGCGACATGTGCCGACCATTGCTCCAGGAAGTATGGGGCAACAGTCGAGAGCAGAATGTACTGACAGGTAACGTGATAGCGGGACTGTAAATACCAAACATTTAGGTGAGGATAAACGCTAGAAAAAAGTCAAAAGAAAATGAACAATTCCCCGAAGCAGAGAGGTAAATAACTGTAGTCCGGGATGAAAATCACTACACGATATTGTTCATATATAAAAATATTAAAGAATCTTTTTATTCTACTAGCGATATCACATCTCAGTTTAATCTTCTTCACAATAAAACGACAGAAAATCTTGATCGCTATCTTTACAATACATGCTTTTATTTTATTACTTGACTGCCTAGACACTAATAGCCCTTCGCCGACTACCTAATGATATCCATACACATTGTACTCATAAAAATATACTCGTACAAGCTTCTTATACATATTCTAAAATGTAGACATCAGAATACTATTATGATGAGATAATATTAACTTTGAGTCTGCCATGTCAGAATGTATCTAGTACCTACATCATTTTTACAATGAATACACGTTAGTGGTAACCAATAAAGATTGTTTTAAAAGAACATTATGTCGGCTTCATTGTAAAGATTCCCGTAATAGGTCAGGTAAAACACCATATGCATGAATTTAGTGGAAGCTTAAGCATTAGTGAATGCCTATCCTAATAAAAATAAAAGCATAAGTTTCGCATAATATCATCCCTAATGTGATCCTATTATATATTGGGTGAAGTCATAAGGAAAAGCAGAACTTTATACGAATTAAGTACTAAATGTGCACCAGTGGGATACCAACATAACTTTTCTAATGATAGAGAGATCAAATACACGACTACGGATCTGAAACCCATCCGAAACCTCATTAATATACAAATCAGACATTTTTTAATAACTATAATTAACGCAGACACGTTATTTATTTATCTGTCGTGTTGAATTTAGAGTTCTCAACATATCCGTTTCCGTTGAACAATTAGAAATTGTAGAAAATCGATAGCTCGTGGATTTCGAAATATAGCTGCGGATACGCGTGGGATATCGTCAAATAGATAAACGATTATGGCTTACTATTAATTTTATTTGAATTTATTATTGAGATATAAATTAAAATGTACGTTTTACATTCCTATATTAGTATGTCTACATAAATTTTTGTAAGCTTCGTTATTAAAATTGCGTGTATGAAACGCTAAGAACGATAGGTGCGGGCTAGCTATTTGCATTTTCTATACATGTCATATGAAATGAAGATTTTATTCATTATATATTTTAGTCTATTTTTAGATTAGCTATTTCTAGATGGTTCAATCTAGTTGTGGAACGCAGGTATACGCAATAACTCAGTGCTCACGAACTAGGGGTGTTAATGTTCGATAAATATATTTTATTACGTGCGACCATGCCGGTCCTAGAATAACGGAGCTTACCGTTTCTCGCGATATTTCGTGCTGTATAAACTGTAGCTAGTTTACGGGATTACTTGACTTATTAATGTGAACACATACACGTATATTGCAAAATACATCCAACTTACACAGATTAAGGTGTAGTTACTCAGATTTATCTTTCATAACTGTCTACTTGATCAAGTTAGTTGAGAATGTGGATTTTAATAACCTAGCGTTAATTAGTGCTGAGTTACATGAACTAACTACACGAGAACACGACGTGAAACCACACACCCGTGCGGTTTCCGCGATGTTCTTTCATATCCAAATCTTTTTTCTAAACTTTCCTTCTATGCACAACTGCCATCAATTAAAGAAAAAACAAATAACTCTATTTTACGAAGCAAGCGCACTCCGATTCTTATCCAGCCAATTTTAATCTTAATCGTTCTATCTACAAGCCGTAACAATATAATAATAACCATTTGAAAGCTCGACTCTGACAAATTGCCAAACTTTAGTTAATAAATGACTGTTTATGCACCTACTTGTAAACAAAGAATTCGTATAAAAAACTTTATGATTAATGGGTCGATAGAGCCCTTAACTAATGACATTGCATTTCGACTTGGTTTCACAAGACGTAATAAATCTTTGGAGCGCACTTACTGTTGAACAGTAATTAAATGGGAGATCGGCTAGTCTTTACCAGCTGTGAACTGATTTGAATTCATTGCCCAGGTGTGTGTATGCACAGGTGGGCTACTGTGAATATGTATGAGTGTGTGGGTAGATTAGGTAATTAATGATCAGTTTGGTACGAGGAATGAGTGTAAATATGTGCACGAACGAATATATTAGAGATTTGTATGCTCGTCAATTCATCTGAAAATAGACATGGTAATTCTTAATTTTGTTTTCTAATCTTTTTAATCTGCGAACTACAGCAGCCAAACTTACAGACCAGGCGATCACCGTTTGATAGTAAACAGTGGTAGCCTGTCAACTGTAGCACTAGATGCATTAGGTACAAGTGCGTTCCTGACTATGGATAAATTCTGTTCCAACTTCATTATATGAAATTTCAATTCAAGCATCCCACTTCTTCACTCGGCACTTAGTAACAAACCCACGGAGATAGATTCTTAGCTCTTAGCTGTTCTCCATGTCATATTTATGATTACACGAACACAATAGACCGATACTCGATCAATGTTCATTACGTGGGCATTAGTATGCAAGTATCGCTTACGATTTACCTTCTAAAGCTGCGTGCAAATTACACATGATATCAACACAAGATATGCATAAACCGTTCCATGAGAAAGTAGGTTTTGATTTAACGATTGCAGCACACACGTAATTAGTAAATGATGTTATCTCTTGAACATTTTTCAGGTTCACGCTGCACCAATTAGCCTAAATTTTGGTGGGAAAATGTTTCGAATAAAAAAGTATTTTTTATAATACCATAAAAGTTACATGCATTACTTTTATAACTGTTCTGCATTTTACATAATCGATTCTTCGAATCAGTGAACTTGTACGATTATAGAGTCACGATTCATGAAACGATTTTCAAATCAAACGCTTTGGTGCTTTTACGAAGCATTTTCCGGTAATAAACATTGCAAAACTCTCAATCATCCCATTTATAACTATCAATACAGCATAAAATGATAATTGGTCTTCTATCTTTCCAAATACAACGCTATCTCTCTAAATGTACATCGAGCAATCAGCATATTTTCGTATATTCCTTAGCAATTACGAAACAAACAGGTTCTAAGTCTCGTTGTGCGGGTCGCTTAGTTCAGTGCCAACGTAATGACGAGTTATGCATTTGTGCCAAGGGCTTACAAGGACGTCAATCAAGTGAGCCCAGCTAATGGCAGAGAGAAGCGCACACTATTTTTAGAACCAAAGACTAATGTCCGTCACGTCACTTTGATTATTTAATTTTAGAGCTGCACTCGTATTATCGATACTCAATGCATTCTGCAAGCCGCGGGCGACAGATAGATTATGCGACGTGACAACTTACGTAGCTGTGAGAATAATAATTTGAACGGAAATTGTGCTATCTGTATATATGAAACTCAAATACCACATACATAAATAATCATAGTTCAAGAAATGGCATTTCCTGCGTTCAGAAACGTCAAAGTTGGAAAATGCACTCGTAAAAAATTAAAACGGATTACCTAGCTAGATACTACTCTCGGAATAAAACCGCAGAAAGTAAATAGGATCAAAGACATTGTAAAAATACAAAGTAAAGCTCTTTGATTCCCATACCGCACGATTATCCCGCATCTTAAAACCGATACAGCAATAAATGCGGCTCATCTATCTGAGGTGGTACAAACTGTACTATCAATTACATTGGCATATAATCCAAACCGCAGACTTTACAAATTGCGCATATTACATCGTATTTATAGAGATTACAAACGTCCTAACATCATTACAGCATTGAGGTTATTATGGGCACGCTAGTATCAACTAGTATTTACGTTTATTACACAAATTGGTCGGATCAGACCGATCATCAGATCGGCGGAGTCCGTTAGTTAGCCGGGGCGCCTGTGGACCCTGCGCATCAATCACGCGCCGACCAGCGCGGGCGCGACCGATAAAACGATGGCATCCCAAAAACATCGCGCACTTCATTAAATGTTGCAGTAGCGTAACCTTCAAATCTTTTGATAGGTAAATTAATGACGCGTTATCTGCGATGAGTAATGCGCTGTTTGTAAACACGCTACTTTCGACAAATCTTTTTGAACTCTGTAATCTTTCACTGCCGTTATGTTTCATCGTCCATCAATTGACGCTACTATGTTAAACTTGAGAACAAGTTGTAGTACGTCTTAAATGTTATCTCCGTAGCTGCCAAATAATTAATGGATTCGATTAAATTAATGTTGTAAATCAATTTACTTTATGTTGTTTTTAGGAACCTAAATACCAAATATGAATTCATTTGGAGAAAACGCATGATATCTGCTTTTACTTTTTATAAATTACTCGTAATGTTGACGCATAATTAACACAGTTATGTTACATCCATTTTCATTTACACACGCAGTAGAAAGGTCTTTAGCATGCTAACATTTAGGTACAAGTAATATTCGCAAGGCAGGCAGCGTGCTCGTAAAGATTTTATCAAAATTTGACAACATCAGATAGTGCCAGTGGAGGTCGTGATCTGTACATTTAAGATATTTAATCCACGATTTAATGTCAAGTTTACTTTGGAGTCTTGAACAGACAGAATGCTATCTGGCCGAGCGGGTCGCTCCCGAATACCGTAAAATGTTCTAAAGACGAGTCAGTGGCACCGCGGTAAACAGTTACCGATTGTTAAAATCGCATTCGTCCCATTCTTTTGTCAGATTGCTGGATTGCTATTTCTTCGGACGGATCGATTCAAGATACGTACATGTTAACTCACAATGGTAGATTAGAAGCGCGGGAAAGTTCCGACTCGTTTAATTGAATACCGAATTGATTTTCGATCGATCCCGTTCAAATTGATTTCGAAGAATCTAACTAGCGTTTTAATACTGTTACACGGTTCAATTCAGTCTAATACAATTACATGTTTTTGCAATGCTTGCCAGCAGCTATGATAATGAACAGAGGCGACATGATGACGGGACAACAACGAGGCGACAAGAAAAATAGATACTTAATCAATTTTCCAACACTTTCTTCTACTGTCTGCCATTGAACCATCACTTCTTCAAATAGCACTATATATGCACATACCAGACTAGAAATTGTCCCATAAGCATTCATTGCATATACATTGTGGGAGCGATTGGAATGCATAGAAACGTATGGCGTCTGTTCCAAATCCTAAGCAAGACGATTGCTACATAGTGTGAATCAGAACGTTGCAGACAATAACAATAAATTATAATAATGCCTTCGAAACCGCCAATAGTCATGAAAACTATCGGGCGTGCTGGAAAATGTTGCAATGGAAATAATATCCATTGAAGACGTATGCGATCACTTTTACTGTTATCCAATTTGGAACGCGGCGAGGTCGGTTTCCGCTTTTACACGGTTTGTGGCTATGCCTGAGACACATTGTTATAAGTCGGCAGCGTGTCGCCGAGCCCGAGCCGGGCCGGGCCGGAGAGCAGGACGTGTGGCAGACTGACACACATCCGCGGCACAACTCGCGAACTCACTACATCATGTAAATTACGTGACTTGACGGCGACTTCACGAGTCCAGGAGTTATTGTTTAACTGTAACCGCGCAGATTTAGGATTCTGATTACACACGTAGCCACTCCTGTAAGTATGTCGCGCCCTGCCTCGTACTTAAGTAGGCGAACTAAACAAAAAATACACAAATAGAGATTACTGATACTCTGAGCCACAAGTTTAGCCTACGCGAGGCAACTTGATACTAAGTTATGTGCCAAACAAAATAAACAAGCAGTAAGTAAGCGACTCTTGGACCTCGGATTACTTTCTGCTACGAATATTTCACTACAGTCATTGACATGCGTCGTGCGTTCAAGCGATCGCGGAGGTCGACACGGTACACTTCGGTACGATTTCTCCCCTCTGAGCCACCGATCACCTGAATTAGTGAATCTTCACGTCAATCAGATTTGTATCTCGAACATTTGGGTCAGGAGCATCTAGATCTTAGATAAGACAAACACATTGATTTTTATTTGTTCGTGATCAGTAAGATTGACGAGTCATGTCGGTTGACGTCGTTAAATGCGAATTCTCTATACTAGGTCAGAGCACCGGACGGATTGATTCTACTGACACTATCTTGTCGGTAGTAATTGATATACAATTAATATTTAATGGGTGGTTAAAGTCGGCGCCGCTTTGCTTGTAATGAGCTGTCTACGTTCGTGTGCGGATCGTATTGCCTTTATTGGTAAGTTTAGATATGGTGCGGTTATTAATGGTGGGTATACTACGGTATTTAATTGAAGTTACCTGAAGGAGGCGGCTTGGCAGTCAGGTTCCTCGCGACACCAGCCCTGGCATTCATACAGTGATAGGTTTCGTACTGTGTAGTACGCAGTTCCCGAGAAGTCTACATCAGTCAGCTTTTCAAACGCTGTTCGACCTGGAAAAAGACACATTATTAACAGTTGCATCCGTAAAAGAATATACTGAGGTTCCATCGTGCAGCACATAGTTGTTTTTTATCTATTCAATAGATACTCTAAACTCTAGAACAGTAGGAACGTGTTATTATTTTTAATGACGTAAGCAATATTTTGATATTATTAGTCTAGGATATTACTCGTAATGGAACACGCCAATTGATATACATAGATACATCTTAAGAGAAAAATGTTATGTATTTTTACGATTATGACAAGGAATTTAGCGTTTTTTTTTATAAATGTAAATATGTAGATACTTACTGAGAACAACTGTGGCCTGCAGTAACAGTAGCGCCAGCCGCGCCAAGCGCAGCCCCTCACCCTTCATGGCGATGGAAGAACCGCCTGGAAAATACATGAACCATTAGTATGTTTACTCGAAAATGATACATTTGTAGACAACAGAAGGTTCAAAAAGGTTCAGCTTTACATTCAAAATTACATGGAAAAACCAGACCTAACTTAGCTCAATATCCCGTACCTTTACGACTAGTTATTTACTAAACCAACAACCCATTTAGAAGAAATCATCTTAGAAAAACAAGCTCATAAAAGTTCCCATCATCGCCTTAACAAACACAAAAAACATATAGTAACTGTGGTAGGTAACGCCGCCAAAGCGACCGGTCTTAAATTCCCTGCTAACAGCAAATTCCTTGGCTCCTAACGTCCTATCTGGCATCAGTATTATCCTATATTATTTGCATTGAAATCCGCATCTGTCTATAGGATCCCTCGTTAGCGTCTTTAAATGCATTATGGCATAAAATACCCTTAATGTCTTCGCATGTCGGATTTAGTCGTATATCCTAGAGGAGGACGGTTAGAAGCCGCTTTCTGCACGTGCTACGCGACTTGAATAAACATATGCTACGGACTACGAAATCTCGTAGCGATTTGGCAATGTTTGTTTTTTGAACGACATATGTTTAATATGCACCTAACATTTGATGATTTCTTCTTGTATGAATTTATTATTTATTAATTTAACAATAAAGGTTTTTTTTTTAAGTTGTATCTTCGTCATTGTCATATTTGGATTTGTAAGTGTCACTTTTATTATGCAGTCACCGGACAAAGAATTTTTAATTAACCTATTAATCATTAAAAGCTCAATAGTTAATAATAAGAATATCCTAGAAACTCATTCATTCCATATCTATACATATAATGGTTAATGTAATTTGCGGTTAGCAAACAACAGCACTTCTTCTAAACTGGAGGTACTCAATCGAATCTATGACTCAAAACAGAACCAACCAAATTAAGAAAACACTAGCAAAAAACAAAACAGTAAATTACAGCTACCAAATACAATACGTATAAAATCGAAAGTTGATCAATAACTAGAACTGTAATAACAAATCGATGATGATTGGCAGAAGTAGGTAGTTATGCTATTATTTATAGGAGGAAGTACAATCGTACACTTCACAAGTAACCAATAAATTACTAATTTAGCAACTTAATGTACCGCGTAATTCGTTACAGATATATCATTTAAAGTACGTGCTCACTGCTCACTGTTCACTGAGTAAGACTATCACACCTTAATATTTCACCTACATACCAGTTCCGAATAAGTCTATTATAGTGAAATTTATTGCCGACAGGATGTAATTCAACAATATTGATTAAAAATGAAAGTAGGAAAGTAATGTGGTTTTCGGCATCCGTTGATTCATATCTTTTGTATGTATGTGTGTTTGTACGGCGTGTATTGTGTGCGTCCGCGCCGATCGCGCTGCGATTGTTTAGTACCTCTTTGTGAGTGTCGATGCGCCGAATGCAGGTCAAGATCAGCACTGCATGGATCCATGAAAGCTAATAGGAAAGTCAGTGACACGAATTTTCATTTACTTTTTTGCATTGCGATATCGCTTTCACTGTACTTTTTATCAAATACAATGAATGATCATTTGTAAACGAAAAAGCACAACTATTGTTGTACAGACACTCTCTACAAATAATTTCTTATATATAACGATTCATTACAATGTCTCTGCTTAGTTAAAATTTAAATTACGATCTATAAAGCACTCGTATACTTTTTATTTGCGATCAGAGCAATCAAGGAACGGAAACCTTCGAAACTAAATGTCATAAAATTCGTCAATATAAATTACTCTTTAGGTACCGCTACGTTAATTAAGTTTTCTCAATCAAAACACATGAAACATGGTACTGAAATGTAACACATTAATAATCTTTATCAGATCAATGTTGATGAAATAAACGACACTGAGATTTATCGATTTAATACTAAAAAAAGCTTTTAAATAAGCAGAACACGCATCATTTTACTTTATTTGAATACTCTGAAATAGTTTAGTTCTAGTTGTTACCATTAACACGTATTTGCTGTGTGAACACTGACATACGCATTTAAATGGCGTTCTCTGTTCAATATGTACAAGTAATTGCACTTAGATACCGTTGCCAAGTACTTACCGACTATTATGTGGAGTGATTCTCAAAATTCACCGGAAGAGGTGACTTCGCGGTTCTGGTTTTAAGACTTTAACGAACCACAAACAATTCAACGGTATTGTGGAATTGTGGTAATGACAACTTGTCCCCATAGTACAGTGAGCGTGAAGGAAACAAAATGCACGCATTCCGTGCACTCCGGCGTGCTCCGGCGCAACTGAGCACCGTGCGACGTTTACACGCATTACTGGTGTTACACACACATTAGCGTTCCCAAGCAAATCTTTTAAATCATTTAAGATGTAAACGTAATGTGCGGTTTTTTTGTCGTATCTCTTAATACAAGGAATGGTGACAATTTCAGGGTTTCGTCAGTCGAATAAGCACAAGCTCGACTACCAGGCAAGAATTATTTGTCAGCCAAAGTAATATGGTAGCAAGAGATCCCTTTTCTTATTTCTTACTTCTATGTTCCATTAAATATTATAATGTTAATCCTGTGCTTTTTGGCATTGAGTAGATATAATGGGTATAAATGCAGCATTCAATTATAGTGTAAAGATAATTTTGCTGTAATTTTTTTATGGTAACGTTACTTTGTTTATTATCTATATCTATATCTATATAAAAGAAAGTTGTGTTAGTTACACCACTTATAACTCAAGAATGGCAGAATAGATTTGGCTGAAAATTGGTAGGGAGGTAGCTTAGAGCCAGGAGACCGACATAGGATACTTTTTAACCAATACTTTTTTTTTACTTTTTACCGAAAATCACGAACGGGGACGGGAAAAAATGGGATTACGCGTACGAAGTCGCGGGCAGAAGCTAGTTTATAATTAAATGTAAGTGTTTTAGTACTAATAAATCATCTACTAATAAGCATTCAATACAAATGCAAACACATAACAATTAAGCATGAAATGAGTTGCTATAGTTAATGTAAATATTCATTGCGTGCAGCAATAATAACTCAATACAAAGGACCATAATGATAAACTTTTATAGTATTTTTATACCATCAAATAACACCATGTTTACTTTATGTGAAACAACTTTGAAATAACAAATGATTCGAGTTGGAACTCAGTTATCGTGTCATACTCGCGTCATTTAAAATTTCCGAAATTGCATTTTCCTTAGCGGCTAACAGACTTGTATTATCAGTTATTTCGATTATTCAGTTATCGAAGTGTTCAAAAAGAATTGCTAAATTGTGAGAAATATCTACATATATCTGAACTGGTTTTCTTAAGTAAGTATACTATGGCAAATGACATATACATATAATTCACATAAGCGCAACAAACATACAGAAATGACCTTTAATAATAATTCTTATCATCAAATTTTCCGAAATACCAAAAATATCGATTACTTAGTATGCCCAAACCGATACCGTTATTATCCATAGTCCAGACCTGCCCCTCTAAAATTAAAAGACGAGTCCTAACATTATGTTATGTAACCAAATTGAACTTATGAACTTGAGAATGATATAATAACTTGGCATTATAATAAATCTTGAACTCACAGACACATAATTATTTTATTTTTATTGTATCTTTTAAGATCAGATTGTATTTATGCTAATGCGACCCTAAATACTGAACATTCAACTCACATATACTTTTATTGTCATAGTAAATTCCTTTTAATTGGAAGCAAATACCGACGTTTTTAACCTATTTGATATATTAATAGAGTCAAATAATATACATAAACTAAAAGATTGCTTTATCACTCACATTCTTAAACTTAATGGACTTTGATTTTAAGTAAAAACTGCCCATCTTAAGTTATACCAAAATCTAGATTTCCGAGAATAGTTTTTGATTACTATAACTAACTAAATCCAACAGTACATTGAACGTGACGAATGTTTCAAAGAATTCGGATTCCGAGTAGATTTGTGACCAATTCTGAAATATAAAACGTTTCGCTTCCTCATCGTTCATTTTCTTTTATTATACTTACATACATTTTAATTAAACCAAACCTACCGTTTTCCTAACCATTTTCCGGCTATTTTAGACGAAAGTATAATAGATCTATTAGCAGTTTTGAAAAATCAAAAATAATTAATTCAAAAGTCAAAATCATTTATTTCAATTAGACCAGGAAGGCACTTTTGAACTTCAGCAATAGAATTTTAAAAGTGGTCTATTTGCTCATTCCAAGGTGTAGATTCATATGGAGAAGAACGAGCAAGAAACTCCATAAGTTACTCTTTTCCAATCAGGTTTACAAAACAATTCTCCATTTACACAGTTTTATTGGTTCGATTGTGCGAGAACAATGTAACACCAAAATCCAGCCAAAGGAGATCGAAAAGAAAATAACCTTAAAGACAAAGAATTCAACATTGGATTCAAACTCATATCCACTAGGCAAGTCGATGCAGCCATACGTTCCATAATCAATTCGAATCGCGTAACGACTGTCAAAGGTCCTTAGTCTTTAGCATAAAGAAGCAAGACAATGTGCTCGTTGACATTTATGGCGTTCATATATGGGGGAATCAACGGAAGGAGCCTGCGATACAGTTACTTCACCTATAACACCATGAGTTGATAGCCGAGATGTTCTCGGAGCGGAACATTGCTCCAATCTTGGTCACCCGGCACAATAAACAGTAATAGTTCACTATTGTATTGTAGGTGCGAGGTGCTGAAGGTTATGTTTGTATACGCCGCTTTCCTCTCTTTTGAAGAATGAATCAGCACATCAAATATAGTGCTAACGGTTGATAAACGTAAAAGTGTTAGAATTCTACGCTCGTAAACTGTGTTAAACTTGTTTGAAGTGTTTTATTGGACACGCCCGAAACATGTCTCTAATGTATTATTTACCAAAAAGTAGAATTTTGTAAAATTGAATGCTTATCATGGCATTGAT